ATAACTAATACTAAAATTAAATCATAGCATGATATTTAATAGTATATCCAAACGACTACCAGTCCTGATACCTAATAATATAATTCGTTTTCGTTTGTACCAATGAACACAAATTCTGTCGGTGGTGAAGTGCCATTTGATTTTGCCCGTAAAATTAGAACTTGTCTATCCTAAAGGATAATAAATTTATATTTAGTTAAATGAAACGCGTGATGCAATTTTAGCTTTGCGGGTAATAATAGAGAAGAAGATATAATAGGGAAAGATGCGTCCATAAGATTCTTAAGTCTAGAAAAAGCTTTTGACGGTCTTAAATGCGAAAATATGCTAAATATGGTTTAAAATATAGGGATGAGATACAGGGGTAGAAGAGTAAAATATAATATGAGAATTAGTGGTGGTTGTGATTGAAAGCTGAGGTAGTATATAACAACGTCAAAATTTCTTAGTAAACATTTTTTTTCTAAAAATAAGTACACTATAACTTTAATTACAGCCGATCTGTTGTAAAATTATGTTTTTTTCTTGGGATCATCTAATTCTTACATCTACATGTATAAAAATGCCCCAAAAGTGAAAAAATACTCCATTCAGGCACATAATTTTTAGACATCTACATATACACTGAAAAACAATTTAGTGGTAACTAGAAAATTACAGTGATTATGATGATAACTTCGTTTGTAATGGCTGTTACAAGATATCGGATGTATTACGCATGTCGGCAATGGTTCTTTTTGATGCACATAGAAAGAACTAAATTATAGTGTACTTACTTTTGGAAACAAATTCCTTTACTGAGAAATTTTGACGTGGATGTGGTATCTTTTGGCTTTCACTCACCACAGCTAATTTTCCTATAAGGAGTCGAGTACTAAGAAGATTGATTCGGGATGGGATAGACTGGAAGTGCGTGTAAAACTGTGGTATATCTACTCAACAGGTTATCGAGTTCAGCTTCTTTCAATCTAATTACTAATTTTAGGATACTTTGAGTTACACAGTAAAGTAATTTTAACGAACTAAAAGTTACCTTTAAATTTGGTGGAAGTTTTAACTTTAAATACTCTTGAGTTCTCCGAGAGATCGAGATCGGGTCCATTGCTTTGATAATTCAACAATGTTCTAAGACAATGTATTACAGATACGTGCGCATTTTCGGTTCATACATATCAGTTCGGATGTGGCTTTTTAATTGTCCTTTTTGGGTAATAAATAGATAGAGGAATGAAAAAGAGCAATGAATATTTCGGAATCGAATATCAAAATTATTTGACTGTATATGCAAACTGCATTCTGTAATTCCTGAGATTTCAACAAATGACTCTAACATTTTGCTACTCAATAGTTTATTTATTCGTCTGTCCATCTGCCATACCGTCATGAATATACGTATAAAATGATAATAAAAACATATATACAGTTTGTAATTAGGTAGGCATTTTATTTGCGCGAGTTATTAAAAGTATAATGGTTTTCTGTTTTGGGATTTCCCGAGAGTACGATGAGTAGGCTAGGTTAACTTTCGGGTATATATTATCATGGGTAGGGAACCCACCGAACGCCAAGAGGGTTGCCTAGATTTCGCCTCGTAACTAAAACTCGAACTGTCCCCTTCTAACATCGTTGCAACTGTTTGTAAGGGTTGGATTTATTCTAGAAAGATTCCAAAATGTAAAATCTAGGGACTTCTTATTTATTTGTGAGATCTAGGCAACCCACCATAGAACTCTTGCCGTATGGTGTATCCAGGAGCATCGAGGATGTTTTGACAGTAGGTATAACAAGGAGGAATTAGAGACAAGCGATATTGATAGAAGAGTATGAACGGTGGGCAAGGCGGAAAGGAAATAGTTTATTTATGTGGTATCATGCATATATCATTTTTCATTTTAAGATTCTGTTTTCAAATATTAAGCTTTGATTCAATTTTCATGGTGGTTGTCGGCATACCTTTTTCTCTCCCCAATTTTCTCCTAATTTATAAACAAAGACAATCATGTCTGTTTGTGCAACTGCAAGTTTTTGAGAGTCGGGACTAAATGCGATGCTTCTAATTAAATAAGATCGCTTTCCTGCTTCGCTATCTGCAGGTTTCGTAGAAAATCTGTCACGCTTTTCTCCATTTTCGTCAAACAACAATATTTGTCTGTCGGCTGTGGCCACGGCGAACTTTAAATTGTTCGGAGACCATGCCAACCCTAGAATTTTAGCTTCACAATTCTGTAAAAATGTGTATTATTAGCAGAAAACATGTAAATATAGGTTAAAAAATTAAAAAGAAGACTTACCCGTAATTACCACAAAAAAACTTTTTGAGGGGACACGTGTTTCGCCCGCTTCATACATAGCCATTACTACTACTTTACTTTTGGGTGTTTCATTCCCACCAGCATTACTGGCGGGCAGTCCCTCCAGACTATGCCGGAAGGTAGGGCGGAAGGCCCTCTTCAGCCTGCTTTCAGGAATCGTGGGAATGGGTGGGTAGTGGTTCGGGTGAGAAAGATGAGACGGACGAAATGAAGACAGAAGAGAATGAAAGATTA